TTGGGTCAATGGCCCCAAAAAGGTGCAATACATTCCCCAGGAAATCCAAGAAAACGCCGGTACAGAGTGGACATGTTAGTTGATACCTGAAACGGTAGCCCGAGACACGTATCCACTTTTTTTTGGTGTTTTTTTTGGATACGTTAGCTGCTGTGAACATAGGCTATGATAAATGCCCTATACTAGAGACATGTTAGTTGAAAATCCAGAATGGACATATTAGTGGAAAAGTTGTCCCCCCCTCTGGGGGTTCCCGGGAAACTGCCAGAAGACTACCGCCCCGGACGCCCCAGCATCTTTATTTCCAGACTTCAATAGGGCTCAAATCAAAGACTGCATTGATAACAAAACGGTGGAGAAAAAAGTGGTCCCAACTCCTTCCGGAAGAGCGCATCATAGATGATGCTCGTGGGTGGGCAGGAAGATTGGGGGCGCATTCCAAAAACAAGTTGCATTTACTAAGGGTTGGATGACTAGCCATGGAAAGCGTCCACTTAACGTGTCCGTGTTGTTCAGAGGATGTGGTTTTGAGATATGTGAGTGGTTATTGGCTGAATCTATCCCCCCAAAATAGCGAACATATCCCAGATCAGGGTCGAAATCCAAGGGCCCCAATTGCAGGAACTGAGACATGTTAGCTGTTTTTTGGGTCAATGGTCCCCAAAAAAGTTGCAATGCATTCCCCAGGAAATCCAGGAAAACGCTGGTACAGAGTGGACATGTTAGTTGATACCTGAAACGGTAGCCCGAGACACGTATCCACTTTTTTTTGGTGTTTTTTTTGGATACGTTAGCTGCTGTGAACATAGGCTATGATAAATGCCCCACACTTGAGACATGTTAGTTGAAAGTCCAGAATGGACATGTTAGTGAAAAAGTTGTCCCCCCCTCCCGGGAAACTGCCAGAAGACTACCGCCCCGGACGCCCCAGCATCTTTATTTCCAGACCCCAATAGGGCTCAAATCAAAGACTGCATTGATATCAAAACGGTGGAGAAAAAAGGGGTCCCAACTCCTTCCGGAAGAGCGCATCATAGATGATGCTCGGAGGTGGGCAGGAAGATTGGGGGTGCATTCCAAAAACAAGTTGCATTTACTACTCTCGTGAAATCTTACCTGTTGAAAGTTTTTTTTATTTTTTTATTTTTTTTGCTATGTTAGTGTTTGGGTTTTGGGGCTGAGATTCAACTAACTTGGCGTTGGGAACGCATGGTGTGACATGGGCATTTTGGTGCTAACTTGGCGCGTGTGAAGCATCAAGTAGGTTCAATCGGGAACTGCTTTGTTAGCGTTCGTTTGTGCGCGCGTTCATCAGCCTTTCCACCAATATATGGTTCCAAAAACATTTAATCGTACTTCATAGTAGCAAGTAGCGAGATTGGCAACATCGACCAGGAGTTTTTTCATTAATTATTCAATCTATTATATAAACTTGTTGATTTTGAAGCTTTTTTGGGTCCAGTAAGGGTGATGATTATGATGTACTATTGGAGGTTTTGGGAACCCTGCGCAAATGCTATGTTAGTAGTCGCCTTGGGCTCACAACCTTTCCGCCAACGCGCGCGCGCGCGTTAGCGGAAAACAACTCGGCCAGGCCCGAGGACTTCGACCCCAAAACGGGGAAGACACAACGGGGAAGGAGTAGTCCTCGGGCCTGGCCGAGTTGTTTTCCGCTAACGCGCGCGCGCGCGTTGGCGGAAAGGTTGTGAGCCCAAGGCGACTACTAACATAGCATTTGCGCAGGGTTCCCAAACTTCCAATAGTACATCGTAATCATCATGGCAGCAAGTAGCCAGATTGGCAACTTTGACCAGGAGTTTTTTTCCTTATTCAATCGATTATATAAAATTGTTGATTTTGAAGCTTTTTTGGGCCCAGTAAGGGTGAGCCCCAGGAAGACATCCAAAAACAGTTGTGGTTTGATCTGGTCGGCTGGAGACTCAAAAGAGACACCTAACCTAGCAACCAGGGGTACTTTCATTCTAGATTGATTGATTGATGTGTTCGGTTTCCTGTTTTCTAAAACATGTTTTCCGTGGAGTTTGATGCTAACATAGCACTTTCCATTTGGTGGTTCCAAGCTGTGACAAGTCAGACAGCTATGTTAGCTTATTCTGGTACATTTCTTTTACCCACTTCCTGGGGAATGCCAAACATTGGGAGGACGGAAACAGAGGCTATGTTAGCAGGTGTTGGCAGAAATCACCCAAATGATCACTTTCTCCAAATCCCCAGGGTTGACAACGTAGCCAGATGCTATGTTTGTGAGTTGGTGCCAGGGCTAAAAAACGCTATGTTAGATTTCACCGGTGTAACGGTTAGATGACTGGCCATGGAAAGCGTCCACTTAACGTGTCCGTGTTGTTCAGAGGATGTGGTTTTGAGATATGTGAGTGGTTATTGGCTGATCTATCCCCCAAAAATAGCTAACATATCCCAGATCAGGGTCGAAATCCAAGGGCCCCAAATGCAACTGGTTTTTGGAACCCCACATTGAAAAGGCCAATATTCAGTAGCTTGAGATATTGGAATCTCTTCGGGGAATGACTGCACTTACAAGACCCAATTTTTGTCAAAACACTGTTGTTTTCCCTGAGCCCCAAAGTCATGGCCAGCATCCGAGATGAAGTGGCACAGGTGCTGCTCATTTGTTGTTCATTGTTTCCGAATTCCAACTTGCTAATATGTCCCAGTTTGGTACGAAAGAGCACGCACTGCACTTCCAATCCTTATTTCCAGACCGCATTGATAGCAAAACGAGCAGAAAAAAGAGTCCCAACTCCTCGGAAGAGTGCGTCATATATGAAGATTGGGGGTGTGTTCCAGAAACCAGTTGCATTTACTAAGGGTTACTGGCCATGGAAAACGTCCACCTAACGTGTCCGTGTTGTTCAGAGGATGTGATTTTGAGATATGTGAGTGGTTATTGGCTGAATCTATCCCCCAAAAATAGCTAACATATCCCAGATCAGGGTCGAAATCCAAGGGCCCCAATTGCAGGAACTGAGACATGTTAGCTGTTTTTGGGTCAATGTGTAAAAAGAAAGTTGCAATGCATTCCCCAGGAAAACGCCGGTATAGAGTGGACATGTTAGTTGATACCTGAAACGGTAGCCTGAGACACGTTTGTTCCCGGGAGTGTAGATAGATAGATAGATGGATAGATAGATAGATAGATAGATAGATAGATTTGGAGACAGCTAGATAGATAGATAGATAGAAAGATAGATAGGGAGACAGCTAGATAGCTAGCTAGATAGATAGATAAAAAGATAGATAGATAGAACGATGGGTAGACAGCTAGATAGAAAGATAGATAGAAAGATAGATGGATAGATAGATAGATAGAGACGGATAGATGGGTAGATGGATAGATGGATAGGTGGATAGATGGATAGATGGATAGCTGGATAGGTGGATAGATGGATAGATGGATAGATGGATAGATGGATAGATGGAAAGATGGAAAGATGGAAAGATGGAAAGACGGATAGATGGAAAGATGGATAGATGGATAGATGGATAGATGGAAAGATGGAAAGGTGGAAAGATGGATAGATGGAACGATGGATAGATGGATAGATGGATAGATGGATAGATAGAAAGATAGATAGATAGATAGATAGGGAGACAGCTAGATAGATATATAGAAAGAAAGATAGATAGATAGACAGATAGACAGATAGATAGATAGGTAGATAGATAGATAGATAGAAAGAATAGAAAGACACATAGACAGATAGATAAAGAGACAGCTAGATAGCTAGCTAGCTAGAAAGATAGATAGATTGAAAGAAATATAGATAGACACATGGATAGTCAGCTAGCTGGATAGATAGAAAGGTGGATAATAGTTAGATAGATAGATAGATAGACAGATAGATAGAGGAGACAGCTAGATAGCTAGCAAGCTAGCTAGCTAGCTAGATAGATAGATAGATAGATTGATAGAAAGATAGATAGAAATATGGATAGTCAGCTAGATAGATAGATAGATAGATAGATAGATAGAAACATAGAAAGAATGATAGATAGATAGATAGATAGATAGATAGGGAGATAGATAGATAGATAGAAAGAAAGATAGATAGATAAATATATAGATAGAGAGATAGATCGATAGATAGGGAGACAGCTAGGTAGCTAGCTAGCTAGATAGGTAGATAGAAAGAAAGAAAGATAGAAAGATGGATAGACAGCTGGATAGATAAATAGATGGATGGATGGATGGATAGATAGATAGATGGATGGATAGACAGACAGATAGAAAGATAGATAGATAGATAGATAGATAGATATAGACGGATAGATGGATAGATGGATAGATGGATAGGTGGATAGATGGATAGATGGATAGGTGGATAGATGGATAGATGGATAGATGGAAAGTTGGAAAGATGGAAAGATGGAAAGATGGATAGATGGATAGATGGATAGATGGATAAATGGATAGATGGATCGATGGATGGATGGATGGATGGATGGATAGATAGATAGAGAGATAGGTAGATAGATCGGTAGGTAGGTAGGTAGATAATCAGAGAAAGAGAGAGAAAGAGAAAGAAAGAGAGAGAAAGAGAGAGAAAGAGTGCAAAGGAGAGAGAAAGAGTGAGAGAGATCAATCACCTTTCGATCCATCAGTGGCGTCGCTCTGCGATCCCTGATTCACAACAACCAACCTCTCCTATAGGTTTCCTATTTTTGAAACTTCCGCCACCGCCTTGTGCTTACAGCCATCATTTTCCTAAGATTAAAACTTAACACTATCTCTGTTTGTCTGAAAAGAGAGTACCCCCAAATCCATTGAGTAATAATCATGTTCCCTATTAAAAGAGCCATTTAGGGGGTACCCTCTGGTAAACTAACATAGCTATGGAAAATCACCATTTTTAATGGGAAAATCCACTATAAATGGCCATTTTCAATAGCTATGTTAAATTACCAGAGGGTATACCACATTTTCAAACAAAGCCATTGTGGATGAACGCTTCCCCACAGTCCTTGAAGTCCAAGAACTCGCGCTCCTTCGCCAGCAACGCTGAAGAAAACGCCGGCTGCCTCTCCTGCAGAGGGGTCATACTTAACGGGAAAAATATAGGACTTCACCATACTTAACCTCCAGTAAATTAACAGTTGGACCCTGAACATCACCCATTTGTTAGTTGAAACTAATCTTCCAACCCCGATGACTGCCAGGGTCGAACTGTTAATTTACCAGATGGTAACCTCTGGAAAGTTGAGATTCAACAGCAGAATTTGGAAGTTTAGGACGAATTTGATGATTTCAAACATGAAGATAAAAAAAACTTCACAAACTTAGATGATTTCACTGGGGCTTCAAGGAATTGTGGCGCCACAGTGCGAGGAACATTTTCAAAGTGCTGGGGTTTCATTCCCCATAGCATTGGGATTTTGCTGGGAGGATTGCCCCCAAGCAACGCCGTCAAAGTCGTTCCAGAGTGATTGCTGAAATCAGGATCGGCCACGAAATACGTAAAAATATCATCCACTTACTGCTTGGTGGTGACTTCACTATCTTGAAAAATGATGGAGTCAATGGGTTTCGGATGACATCCCATATATGAAATGGAAAAATAATCCAAATGTCTGAAATCACCAACCACTAATCATTATTAACCATTAAACATGGCAATTTAATGCAATTTATAGTTGATATACCCATTAAAAATGGTGATTTTCCATAGCTAGGTAAACGTTTACCAGGCCGGGTAAGTTCTTCTAATCCAGTTCCAAAGCTGTTAACTTTCTATGCGTGATATCATCGGAGATATGACTGGGACATAGCTGGAAGATCCTCCCGGAAACTGACTAATAAGCATTTAGTAATGGCCCAGTGAAACATATTATGGAATTTTCCATAGTCATAGGGGTACCCCTAGTTATCATCCATGTTATTTTTGGATTTTCCATTCTAAACCATCTAGCGAGCTGGGGGTACTCCGATTTCAGGAAACCCCCATATGAGCCATTAAAAATACCCCGTTTTCCCATCTCATGAAATACTAGTTGGTTGAAAACGGGGTCCCCAATCCTATGGGGCCCATCATAATCCCCAGCAAAGCAGGTAGTTTTTGATCCCCTATAGCAATCAATTAACCAGCTGGTTGGTGTTTCAACCCCTCTCAAAAAGATGAAAGTCAGTTGGGATGATGAAATTCCCAATATATGGAAACATAAAATTTATGTTCTAAACCACCAATCAGCTATGGGTTATCATAATCCCCAGCAAAGCAGGTAGTTTTTGATCCCTATAATCAATGGCCATTTTAGGAACCTAAATTGGAGGTACCTACCATATATATATACATATATGGCCTATGTAAGGCATTTTTTAAGGCCTATGTAAGGAATATCCCCAGCAAAATATGGCCTTATATGGTACTAACGTACCTCCATTTTAGGATCCTGAAATTCCCATTGAATTAACTATAGCAATCAATTAACCAGGGTATTTTGTTCATGGCTCATAGATACCCAACTTTGGGATGATCTTCGTCACGGACCACCTGACGGACACGCTAAAGAGGCCTGATCCTTCACCATCTGCAATTTCTTTTCCTTGGCCTGGTACCAAAATCGCGCCGGGATGTGATGCTCAGCCCTCCAAAAAGGTTGGTTTAACACGATGAATACTGTATGTTGTGGGTATCATAAGCCATAGTGAAATTGAGGTGATGTTCACCAACTTTGCGATTTCGTAAACGGGGGCCCCACATTGTAGCCATATCGTTTCACTAGTCATATCTCAGACTGAGATAGCTTTTGATTGGTGAACATAAAACTTGTTCCAGCCGCTTTAAATTGTCAAGGGTTCACATCTGCAATTCAAAACATGTTTCTCTTGTGTCGTCCAACCACCTTCCGAAATGCACCTAATTTTGTATAAACAATTGCACCACCACAATCAGATCAATCTGTGTAAGTTTCGATTATCAACAATGTATGCATATATGGAGGTTTCGTGAAATGGGGGTACTCCTAAATCATCCACTTTAATAGGATTTTTGCCATTCTAAACCAACCATTTTTGGGGATCCCGCATTGATGGAAACACCCATATATATATATGGATCGCAAAAAGGAGCATATGGGTTTCTGTTTTTCAATCATGGGTAGCAGTGGGCCCACAGTCGTTCTCTTGCCTAAGCCTTCATGCCATTACATCCTATTTGTAGAATAATTAATTCAAAACTGTAGCCCGAAGTGTACCCGGCCTGGTAAACGTTTACATAACGAACTGGAAAAACATCATGCTATTAATAGTTTTTCCATAGTTATGTTTTCCATGGTAATTACCCTCTGGTAATTTAACGTAACTATGGAAAATCACCATGTTTAATGGGAAAATCCAACTATTTCGACTGGGCCATTTTCTATGTCGCAAAGCCGCTAACTGCGGTGGCCACAAGACTGAAAGTAGCCACGGCCACATCCACGAGTGGCTTCCCAAGGGGTTCTTTGGCTTCTTTGGTATCGAAATGTATCGAAGGGCTTCAACAATTGGGGATGGGTCAAAACCCTGGTACCTAGTGAACCCCAAAATAGCTGGTAAATGGATGTTCATCCCACTAAAAATGTTTGGTGATTTGATGAAACTCAAAACACATGCAGTAAGTAGAACATGTCCAAAACGCCGAAGGCAGACTTGTAGATAACCGTGTGTTCCCAAGCGAAACTTGTCACTTGGGACTCAGTACATGCCCCCCCAAACTAAACTCGAGCATGGATAGAAGGAAACCTAAATCTCTTGACGGCAATGTGTCAAATTCAGGGAACAGAGAACGTTTCAAATTCCGACTAGTTTCTTTCAAAAAGAAAGTGTGCCTTTTTTGTTGGTTGAATCATGCGAATTCCTGGTCTTTGATAGATAGTCGACTCAATTGAGAGATCTCACCCCAGGACGTCCTACTTGGATGTGCATCCCAGTGAATAATTTATGTACAATCCATATATGACCTATTATATAATTATTGAAGACCCATATAACAAATCTATGAATATGTGTGGAACTGGCGATGTTATCTACATACAAACATGTTACACACACTGTACATAGTTATAACTGTTTTTTTCATCTGATGCTGGGTCCCTCACCCAAACGAGTTCACCGCCGGCACCTGTAGAGCTTCTTCGCGCTGCTGCAACTCCATCCTCGAACCGATGTGGTTAAGACATGCGAAACCAGGTCACCAGGGAATTCGTGGGGATGATTGATGGATAAGAACTACCATGTGGGGAACAAAGATGGGGGCCACATCACCTCAATTTCACTATGGTTTATGATACCTATATAGTATTCATATGTATTCATGGGGTTTTTGTTAACCAAGAAAAATAACCGGGGGGGCCCCGGGGCCCACATTGTACAAGTTGAGGTATAAATCACATGGATTAACCACCAATGCATTCCAACAAAAATCAGGATCTGGTTCGTTCCCAGGTCTCAAGTCAGGCGGTACAGGCACTTGGCCGTCATTGTTGAAACATATCGGCTCTGTCCAAAACAGTGACTAAAGGGGCTTGGTCTATGGTCGTTTGAGTTGACCGTGAGACACACTCAACCTGCTCATCTAGACACTCCAAGGCCATAAGCAAACCATTCCGTGCCATCTTCATCCACACTTGGGCTTCTGCTGTACTTCTCCCACCTTTCTTGAGGGTGATCAGACATTGATCCATTTCCTTGTCCATTTCCAGGCACTGCTCAAGGTCATGGAAGTTTGGGTGCGACTGCCAGTGGAGTAGGCCATGATTCGGATGGTCGTCTGTCCATCAAAAATCCTCTTATTGAGGTTTGAGTCATTTCAGCCTGATTCTTGATAGTTAACAATCAATTCAACTTCGTGTCAATGTGGTAAACGCAATGCCATAGACCATGCCCAATATCAACAGAACTGGCCATATATCCTCCAAGATTCGAGCGGCATGGGGTTTACCACATTAATCCTAGAGATATCCGTGGCAACAAATCAATCTTTAGCTGATAAAACTAATATTCATGTACATATCGCTCTTTGATTGGCAACATATTGAAAATGTCAAGTACCATTACCAACCCAAGGTTTCCCCATGTATGCAATCAATATTTATCAACCATTGGGTTGACTTTTCCGGGCAAATAAGATACAAGTAATGATTACTTGCAAGAATGTTTCGTCTGGAGCAAAAATATGCTGAAATTGGATTTGCTCAAGACGGACCACACATACACACATGTTCCCAATAGTTTCTCAGAATGGCAGATATATATATATATATATGACCTCATTTCAAACTGGACATAGTTTATTTTAGATGATATTATGTGTATACATATATATATATATATACATATGTTATATCAAATGCCATCACCAAGAAAATGCCTCATTATTAACTCATTATATTCATGTTGTCTTTATCTGGAACAAAAAGATCTTTAACGCTTACTGTGGGAATAGCTTAAAACACACATTCCTGAAATAGAGTTGTCTTGTCCTACAATGCATAAATGATTGAGCTTGGAAGGCATCGTTTCTGCTTTAGACGAGGGCACTTGTCTAACATAAAGTGTTTCACTAACATCTGCATATCCTGGGAGATGAATTACCAAAAAAGGAAGCAAGAAGTGTATTGATGAGATGAATCCTAACTTCCTAATATACACAATTTCCCTTTTATAAATTGCCCTTGATTCGAACGCTCTATACTGGTGCCTTTGTCTTGAGATGAATCAAAAAAAGGTATTTACTTTTTTCTTTTAAAGAGGTCATCAGGAATAAGAACAGTTTATAGGATAGGATAGAAGTTCAACGATCGCAGTCAATCTTTTTTTTGTTTGGTGTTTATTTGAAAGTATTCAAATTCGTTTGTCAAGGTTAGAGTCAGATCACTTTGCAGCAAGGAGCTTGGAGAACTTACCGATACCAAAGCACGGCCATCAAATGTATCCTCTGGTAAACAAACATAGCTATTGAAAATGGCCATTTATAGCTGATTTACCCATAAAAAATGGTGATTTTCCTGAATAAGGACCTTTTTCAAACTGGTTGGTGGTGACTTAACCATCTTGAAAAATACAACAGTCAATGGGAAGGATTGTCCCATATATGAAATGAAACATTTGAAACCACCAAGCAGAAAAGATGTGATAGCTGGGGAAGAAAAGGTCTTCAACTTTCCAAATATTCTGAGGTAAGCTGGATCTCCAGAGGATGAATGACCATTGGAGAAATGATGATACCAGCTTTACTGCGAAGAAATCGAGCACCTGATAGGTGGTTGATCCATTTATCCCATTATTTTTGTTCGGTTTTCACTTGTCCAAGGTGCAGGAGTTCACAACCATCCACAGTATGTCAAGGTGAACATTCAGAAATAATTGCAGGCTGTTCGCGCAACAGTGCCATTCTTGAATGCAGCTTTACATGATACTTGGATGTTGCATCCGAGGAATCTTATGTGGTTCCTACATGTCCCCACCATAGTTTTTCCAACATGGCTGTCTCCTGTGCATGGGACGTCCACCCCAAATATGTAAACATGTGGATTTCTGAAAATTGGACACACCAAAAACCACCAAAATTTGTAATGTGCGTAAAACATGGTCAAACAATGTCATAAGTCATCCCCCAAGTCACCATGTTTATAGGTGGTATGGTTACCGTTACCCATGACATTGTTTTACCCACATTAAGTGAAACGGTTTCCCACAGTTAATTGGTGGTCCCACATCAAAAGAGAATGAGAAACACCCACTGGGCTCTGTTGGGCACTTCGCACAAAACCGGGATGATCCTCCAAATACACAGCGTTTCTAGTTACCATCTGGTTTTTTAACATAGCGAACTGGAAAATCCCTTATAAATGGAGGTTTTAGTGGGAAAATCATCCATAAATGGGCCATTTTCCATGGCTACGTTAAACAACCATAGGGTAAATTTGGTGGAAACCAGTTTGTATCTGACCCAAAAGGATGTGGTTCGAATGGAAAAACATCCATTTGTATCTGGTTATTACATACGACCAACTTTTGTAGATTAGATAGCCATCATGGTTCAAGCAAACCACTTTCATTCTAGTGTGTCATCCAGTCAATGAAACAAAGTGAATCAGCCAATACCCCTACAAAATGGAATGTGAGGGTTCCAAGTTGCCCTGTCCCTGTCTCTGCATTATCTATAAATATGGAGGTTTCCTAAAATGGCGGTTGATCAGCTATTGGGGATCCCCATAAATGGGAAACCCCCATAGATACACCATTGACACCATGCAAGGAGATCCAAGATTCTCTCTTCTCGCAAGCTTTGCTCTTGTCACATCCTCCTCCGCGAGTTCTGTTGGGTCATGTTGGGTCCATAGGTCCATCGGTCCACGCGCACACTGCTAAAAACCAACATCCACCAGAAAATGGCCGTGGAATCACCAACAACCAGAAATAGCCATGGTTGTTTCCCTATGGTAATCCATACCCTCTGGTAATTTAACGTAACTATGGAAAATCACCGTGTTTAATGGGTAAATCCACTATTTCTATGGCCATTTTCAATAGCTATGTTAGTCATTACCAGAGGGTACATACGAAACGCTTCTTTGGGGAACTCAACATTTATTTTCTGCTTGTTTCAGGTTGGGATATCGATCGTTTTCCGATTCATGGCATGAGGAGATCACCGGACACCACAGAAAAGTGGTCGGTCTCTATCTGGTGAACAGCAGACGTTTAAACACCATAGTGGAATATTGATAAATGGGAATATTCCCAATCATATCCCATATATTGCTATGATAAATGGGAATATATATATATATATGTATCAATCATATCCGTTTCAGATATGGGAATATAACTACATATATATATATATATATTATATATGTAACTATACCATCTGATTATTTAACATAGCGAACTGGAACATCCCAACCATCAATGGAGGTTTCTAGCTGAGAAAATCATCTATTTTGATTAGGGCCATCTATACCATGGCTATGTTAGTCACAACCAGAGACTAAATCGCCATTAAGCATTATTAACCAGATACAGATTTTGATTAAATTGACCATTATTAACCATTACCAGAGGGTACAAACAAAAAATATCTTGGAATCTTCCCAATCTCAATGCTATGATTCCCATCATATTGCAACCTTCGAATAAAGGCATCGGATGCCCGTCCCAAGTTTCAACATGTCCTTGGGTTGCTTGGTATCAAGCAACCTTGGGGCGGGTAGACAGAAAACACCCTGTCAACTCTGTTGGGATGAAAGGTATCGTCTATTTTTCTGGAGCTTTCCGTTTGGTCATTAAAGTAACCCCTAGTTATCATGTTATCATCCATTTATAGATGGATTTTCCATAAACCATCCAGCGAGCTTGGGGTATCCATTTATGGAAACCTCCATATGAACCCATGATCATGGATATGATTATATATATAATTATATATATATATATATATCATTAATGGTCCATGAACTCACTGTTGCCGAAAAGCCTTTTCTTGGCGGAACTGAGACCTCATCACTTGATACCTCCAGGTCTGAGTTGCCATAGTTCACAAACCTGAAATTTTCGGTGATTTTGCTGATTTTGGGACAACCCTATACTAACCTGGTTGGTTGAGCCACCCCTCTGAAAAATGATGGAGTTCGTCAGTTGGGATGATGAAATTCCCAACTGAATGGAAAAATAAAAAATGTTCCAAACCACCAACCAAACATGAATATGCCATTACCAGAGGGTTAATCACCATTAAATCACGATTAATATCCCTATTATAGATTATTAACGATTATTAACCAGTTATTAACCATTATTAACCATTAAATCACCATTAAATCACCATCATTCCAGTCATTCCAGTCATTTCATCACCTCAGTGAGGCCGATACTGGGGGCCCCAGACATCACCATGCCGTGGTGGAAATTCCCTTGAAAACGAATGGGTAACAATCTGCAATGCACAAGGTAATACTCCCTAGTTGTAAGTTGGTTGATCAACTCGTAAACGCTACCCTACTCAACATATAAATCAACTTATGTGAGATAAATCAACTCATCAACCCCATTTTGCTGATGAACACATATGAAATCTCCACTTACAGCCCATCTTCTATGGTTTGTTGCTACTCCATGCCCCAGGCATTGGACCATTGGACTTGGAAGATCATTTGGCTCAACCCAAAAGGGCCGTTGATCACTGGGGGGGGTTTTCCTTTTTGGAGGTTTCCTACAATATTACAGTACAATGGCTACAATGGGGGTACCCTCTGGTAAACTAACAGTTTGCGAACTGGACAATTGCCATAGAAATAGTTAAAATTGTGATTTTCCATAATAGTTATGTTAGTTTACCAGAGGGTAACCCCAAGCTGGATTGTTTATAATGGAAAATCCTGTTAAAAAGGATGATTTGAGAGTACCACCATTTAAGGAAACCTTCATCTTCGTAGTACATGATCACAATTTAAGGGAAGCCCCTGACTTTTAAACAACCAAGGCCCAGGGTTTAGTAATCCGGGACATTTGCCATCTTGGTGTACCCAAATTTGACACTGCTGCAAAAGCAGAAAGAACGTCCCAGACTTGGTTTAGTAAGGAAAACCATCAATAGGATGTCTGGATGTTTGACAAAAAACAAGGGTTTCCAGCCAATATTCAAAAAGAAAGACGTCATTCTGATGAATGTCATCTTTCTTGGATTTTGCTTCTGGAAGTCGTCACTTTTACCGTGGGAAAAATCCTCACTTCCAATCACCAAAAAAGTGTCCCAGGCGGCCCGGCGATTTTCATCGCACTGTCTGCACTGTACACTGCCCTTCGATCCCTTGGTCGGTCAGGGTCACGTTGAACGCGGCTTGCGGCGCGTGCCGGCGCGAAGGCGCGGCTTGAAACGGCGAGGGATTGAAACTCAGAACGGCCTATCTTGGCCTTAAGCATCACATGCATTAAGAGGTTTCTCAGAGTGGGGAAACCCTGTCCCAAAGTCAGAAACTTCTTCGCTTTTGGGGGATTTGTGATAGGTTCAAGTAAGATTGGGTTGATGGGGAATAGTTTCTCATTAATCAAGTTTACCACATTAGCAAACATCCGGAATAGTTCTGCGTCGTTTTATAACCACATGATTACACATGCAAAAGCAAATCCAGTTTCAAAGTCTGGTCCCCTAGTTATGAAGTGGCGTAGAAACCCAGTAAAGTAGAGTCACCATACTATTATATAGAAATTGTTTCAACCAAATAACCTATGGACTGGTGGCCTCCCATTGTACATTTCGACCGTTTTATTGACAAATGAACAGTGTTAAAAACCAGTTTGTCAACCCACTAATGTTGGTAACACAATAATAAGCCAACCCCAATTTCACCATAAAGAGGTGGTACACACCACATATTACACTGATTAGTTGACAGCTATTCATAATGAGTCATAAAGTGCTTATCATACAATGTGGGCCGGGCCCCCTAATGAGCCAGTTAATGAGTTAGTCGGTTTATAATCCCATCAACATCCACTAACTATTATAAACATCAACATCTACATAAACATGTTTATAAACATCCACTATGATGTGGGCTATATCAACTAATCAAACTAATCATAAACCCATCCACTAACTATTTATAATCCAATGTTTATAAACCCATCAACATCCATTAACTATAGTTATACAATGTGAGGCGCACAAGATAGCTAAGTTGGTTTATAACTCCAATAACTAGGGTTTATGGTGCTTATAACTATAGTTACTGGGGCTTATAATTAACATCCATTAACTATAGTTAATAGCTATATCATAAACATCGAGGGCGGACCACGGCTGCCACAGCTCAGCCAGAGACACAAGCTACCCGGTACCATTAAGACAAAATCTAACCGGTTAAGGTCCCAAAATACGCGTTATAAAATGTTATAAATGGTTCTAAACATCAATAATAAATGGTTCTAACTAATGGTTCTAAAAATAACATAAACATCAACAATAAATGGTTCTATGTAAATGGTTCTAAAATGAGCTTACATATAGTTGGTGGTATACCTTACCCCTCTGAAAAATGATGGAGTTCGTCAGTTGGGATGATGAAATTCCCAACTGAATGGAAAATAATCCACATGTTCCAAACCACCAACCAGTTATACATGGTTATACATGCCATAAAATGGGATGTAAAGGGCGACAACTGTTCAGCTTGCGGCAAAAATATACAATCTACAGCAGCTAGGGCTAAGGTGGTTAGCTTTTGTTGCATTTTTGTCACTATCAATTTATAATCATCCAATCTTCGCTTCAAGCATGTTTCAGCCTGTTTCATGGCCAAACATGCTATTCTATCGGCATATCCTTGAGCCTACAAAGTGGGGCCCGCCAGTTGTATTTGTTAGTTTACACATCCATCAAACTATAGTTATAATCACCATAGGCCCCACTGAACCCAGTTTGTTCAACTCACCTATTTTTGGCACACCACATTTAAAAAACTGTGCGTCAAGGAGCAGTTGGGAAACCTGTGAGAAACCTCCGAGAAGGGTGGCATCTGACAACATCCTGGAATTTCGCTGGATGGAACCAGAAAACCTGCCAGAAACGCACAAAATGCAGCTGCAACTCCAAAGATGGTACTATGACAACATTATCTCGGCAAATCTCGGCAAAACTCGACAAATCTTCCACATGTATTTTTTCCATGTAAAAAACAGGCATCTTAAGCATGGGTCATTAAATGTCCCGATTTTTCACATCACCCAACCATTAGGTATATGGTCTATAATGGCTACTATAAGGTGATGTCCAATATACCCAAAATGGGACAGTTACCAACCCCTGTTAAGTGGCAAAAGAACGGTAAGCAACGTATTAAACTAAGCACCCGAGCAAGGTTGGCCCGTGATACGCTGTAGATCTCAATGTTGGGCAACGGATGTGTTACAGTCTGGATTCCACTCAGTTGGTGGTTAGATGTAGTTCGTAATGTGGTGAACCCATGTCGATAAAGCAGTGCAAACCCACTGACAAAACATATATTTGTAGGGATATCTTGATCTAGATCTATAATCTATATCTACATGCACCTAATTTTGCATTTTCATGAGTTTCATATACCTTAAACATCCTGTAAACATCTTTTACCGGGGTTTCTCTTTGGGTTTACCAAACATCATTCTCCATTTTTTTTTTTTCAGTCTTCCAAACCATATTTTAAGGCTTTATGTCACCCAATTTTTGCAACCAAACTTGGCCCGATTCTTTGGAGTTCCAGGGATTTAAACGTCGAATTGAGCCGAAGCCACCGTGCGTTTGTTTCACAGACCCGAGCACATTGTAATTCCTCGCGGAACATACCGAGGTCCCTACAGTTTGCTCAGGGCGCATCATGCGAGCTATGAAAATCTTGCCTCGCATTTGGAAAGGCTGCAAGTGGCCAGCGCACGGCTGCAAGATTTGCAAGTTGCCAATCTTATCCAAAAACATAAGTTTTTTTAGGGAAAATTCAGGTACGCAGGTACGTTTTTTTTTTCCGCTGCTGACCTATCTTCGGTCTATTGGCAATTTGAGGTAAGTCCCATTGAATCAGTGATGCTGCCTGAAAAGTTCGGCTAAATTGGGAAACTTGCCTGAATCCTAACTGTCCTAACCATTATTCCAGGCTTGTGTCGCGACGTCAGGTCGCTATAATTTACCAACCATTTATGAAATCGTCCATTTTGGGGTCGAAAAATAAAGATTGTCTGGATCTGTAATATTGCCGCCGTTGTGGGTTCCGTATATTAGACGGTTGAAATATTTTGCCATTGGCAAAATACCAGTAATTGGGACATGTAAAACAATCTAAAATTCATGGCAAAGGTAGATTTTTCTTACTGTGCGACAATTGTAATATTTTGCTTACCGCGTGGCGAAGGAAGTTTAGAAGCCAAACTTCCGACAATATGGACAGACGAAGCAGTAGAGGCGGGAAGAGTCAGAGAAGAGAAAGAATAAGAAAGAAGTGAAGATCGTAGAAGAGAAAAAAAAATAGAAGAGCAGAGAAGAGAAAGAGACAGAAGCAAGAAAAGCAAGGTGCGCCAAAAAGGTAGAAAAGTCGCGAAACACTGTGTCTTTCCGATGTTTCGGGGGTGCAAAGGGTCGAAAAGTAGACTCGCCGAAGCGGCGGGTGCGGAGCCACCTGGCGGGAGGAGAGATTGGAAGTTGAAAGGTTGAACAATTGCACGGCGTTGCG